ACCTATAAAATGATTAGTCTTGTTGTGCAAATAGCATACTGACAGAATGATACATCAAAATAAATGCTTATACCTGAGAGTACTTGAGAATACATGTCATCTGTTTTAAGATCTGATTCTGCCATTCAAGAGTGTTGCCTTATTTGGTTTGGCAGTACTTTTATGTTGCACGAGAGATCCAATGTCTTATGTAATTAGGTCCAAACGTTATTGCAGACCTTGAACTATAGCTTGCACTAACAAGAGAACATTAGTGTATTAAGAGAGCTGTTCTATGCAGGTCTACTCATTTTATTTAATGGAGGTTACTCCCATGAATGTGTTCTTAGGATAGCAGTTTGGAGACCTGCCTGTTAAACCACTGTCCCACCTCCTGGGCCCATATCACATTGAGGCTACCATGCTATTATTCACTGTTTTATAAAAAACCCAGGAAATCTGTCCATGTCACATCTTGTCTGAGTCTTAGTAGCATGAATACTGGAATACTGCTGCATGAACAGCAATTGATAGTCAACATAATCATCTCTCTACTCCAGACAATTTTAAATAAATGTGGGTTCTTTGTCTGCATTGTTGCCATCTAATTTAATTGTCAGTAATAATACTGAGGGCTCTGGAACAATGCTAAGTATAATACAAATGCCTATGAATGTGAAAGCTTTTATAAATGTAGACTACATTCAGACTGGATGTGTAACTCTCTAATAAGCCTTGTAATGTTTAAATTATTACATTAATCAATTTTTGATAGTTGTTGTAGATTTTCCGTGCTGTATTGCCATGGTCTTGGCATTGCAGTACCTGACTTCTCTTCTGTCTTTTGCTGATCGTATCATCTGTTGTATTTTTCTGGTGGGTCTGAATACTGTAGGTAGGTTGTGTTTTTTTATAAGGTTTCCCATCTGATCAGTGATTTTTTTGCTACATGGCAAAAACACTTTTCCTGTGGGAGACTGTTTTTCCTCAGGAGTATACCTGAGGAAATCAAAGGAATCACTGATCAGATGGGAAACCTTATAAAAAAACCCCACAACCTACAAACAGTATTCAGACCCACCAGAAAATACAACAGATGCTACAATCGGCAAAAGACAGAAGAGACCCCCCCCTCACTTCTGCAGAAGCATACTGCATACCCTGCAGTTGTGGACAGGTTTACATTGGGACCACACAGCGTAGCATCCAGACAAGAATAAAAGAATATGAAAGACACTGATGACTTGGTCAGCATGAAAAATCAGTAGTGGCTGAACATAGCCTAACTCAAACAGGACACAGTATCTTAGTCCAAGACATTGAAAGGCTGGACAACACATCCAATTACCATGCCAGATTACACAGGAAAGTTATTGAACTTCATAAACATAACCACAATTGCAACAGGAAAGAAGAGAATTTAAAAATAAATAGGACATGGTTTCCTGTCCTGAAAAACAAAATGTTCTACATCTTACAACAGCACTACAGATAAGATTAGAATTTCAACAGCCAATCCATATGCAAAAGAACCTCCTCAGGAAAGCTCCTCCATTAGCATGTCATAGCCTAGGAAACTCCTACAAGATAATGACTCAGCCCTACCCCACCTTCCTGAGTAGATATAAATTACCTGCCTACCATTTTTCTTCTCACCTTGACACAGAGAGTACTCCATCTTTCTGTGCTATACCTGAGGATGCCAGTCACAGCTGCTGGGAAAATGTGAGATACTACAATGCCAAGACCACGGCCATATAGCCCGGAAAATCTAAAACAACTAATGAACTCTGGCCATGAAAGCCTTTGACAACAATTTTTGATAGCATAGTGGCCCACAATTAATTAAGCATCAGATTTTTTTTTAAAAAACCATATTAATGTATTTACAAATCCATGGGTAGCAAACTCCTTCTAAGGAGGCATTTCTCCTTAGAAACAATAGGTATTAAGAAAACAGGTGTCAGTTTAAGATTTTCCTCCAAAGTAAGTCTCAGAGTTCAGTAGGACTTGTTTTCAATTCATAGTACACGTGGGGCTTACAGACACAAATTGAAATTTGGAGCAGATAAAGTCTTGTTTTTGTGTTAAAATCATATATAAAACTTAGAGGACTATTTTTTGACCAAATTAACGTACGTATGTGTGTGTGGGAAAAGTGCCATCAAGTCGTAGCTGACTTGTGGCAAACCCAGCGAAGGGCTTTCAAGGTGGATGCGAAGCAGAGGTGGATTGCCATTGCCGTCCTTTGCAGAGTCTTCTTTGGTGGTCTCCCTTCCAAGTACCGACCCTGTGTAGCTTATGAGATCTGAAGAGATCGGGTTATATCATGTGGCCATCCCTCCCCCAAATTAACATACTGCATTAAAAACGTTATCTGTTCATTTATTCACTTCTACACAGATATGTTTGTTGACAGGTAGACTTTTTATTATGTTCTAGAATAGCTACCACAGAAACAAGATCCAACCATATGTATTTTTCAAGCTATTGAAAGAAATTTGGATTATGAAAGTTCTTTCTCATGAATACTACATAATGTATACAAATGTCTCTATTAAATACATTTAAAAAGAGGGGAAATGGCAAATTGGATTCCTTTTGCATCATTTTTAAACATAACAAATATACTTTTTGCTGATATTTTAAGAACACGGAGTTAGGAATAAATCTTGATTATTTCAGAGGAATAGGCATGATGATGACTGGATTGTGATTGGCATAGTTCTCCCCAGGGCTTTTTTTCTGGGAAAAAAGGTGCTGGAATTCTAAAGAGGGAAATGAAGTTTTCAACCGGTATACTGAAAACTCATGAACTTTAAAATCTTTTTAAAAGAATTTTGTCAAAGAGGTTCCAGAACTCTATTCTGGTGCATTCCTCCAGAAAAAAAGCCCTGGTTCTCCCATGAAAAGTCCTAACGGGAGGGGTGACAGCAGTGAAAAAAAGTAATTTTTGTGCTATCATTGTGTCATCACCAGAGATCTCATCACCAGAGATTTAATAAACTCAAGGATGGAATCTCTAGATTCTTTGCTAATAAAATCTCTTTCATTGGATCCAACTTGGATGCCTATTTAATTCAGAACCACTTGTCAAGGTAGTATATATGGATCATTTTGGATTCCTTTCCCAAGTGGAGCTTGTGAAAGCCATGACTTGGAAAGTCATAGTAAATTAAAAACTGCTGTGAAAGGATGTTTGTCCCTCTGGCCAAGACAACCTCTTTGTTAAAAGGTTATTTATGAAAAGGAGGCATTGGTACCAATGAAGATGTGTCAAATTATAGGTGAGCATCCCTTTTGGGGGCAAGGCAATTGATTGGATTGGAGCTATGTCTGAATAAGGCTTATTCAATTTCATTTTAATTTCAGAACTGATTACAGCCAGATGCAGCACTGGTAGCAACTGGCCACAACTGAAAGGGAACAATGAATTTGTGTTAATATTATTAATTTTTTGATTAGAACAAGCTGTGAACAGGGATTGACTAGAACAAGGTTGTAGAGTCTGGAAGTTCCACTTAGCTATCAGGGCTAATATCTGTTGAAAGACGAAACCTTCATGAATTTTTCCACTCTCTTTAAAAGCCATTATTTCTTTAGGACATAGTTATCCCATCCAAAGAGCTGAGGGAAGTTCTCCCCTCCTCTCACAACACTGCTTAGGTAGGTTAGACTAAAAGGATGACTGGCCCAAGTTTATCCAGTTAGTTTCATAGTGGGCTGGGATTTCTAGTTAGGTCTTCCTAGAACACCACACTGCCTTACATATAAACTAGTGGCCACCATCATGGGGCAGCAAATTCCATAAATTACGCTTTGTGTGATGAAGTACTGTATATTTATCCCACAGTATACCAGCAGCACTCAAGGCAGCTTACTACACATATACACAACGTATTTACTTCATTTATACCCCCGCCTTTTCCCCCAACAGGGATCCAGAGTGTCTGACATCATCCCTCTCTCTTCCACTTCATCCTCACAACAGCCCTGTGGGGTCTGTTTGGTAGAGAGTCTATAATTTGTCCAAGGTCACCCAGCAAGTTTCCATAGCAGAGATTCAAACCCTGGCCTCCTAGATCTTTCTGTTTCTCTCGATTCTACTTCCAGACAATGTCATTGGGTGTATCTAGTTCTTGTACTATGGGAGACGGAGGAAAAGTTCTGTTTTCTCCACACCAGGCATAATTGTATAAATAATGTTCACATGTTTTGTCTTGATTCTCTCTCTCTCTCTCGAGTCCCTTGGACAGCAAGGAGATCAAATCAGTCAATCCTTAAGGAAATCAACCCCGACTGTTCCCTGGAAGGCCAGATACTGAAGCTGAAGCTCAAATACTTTGGCCACCAAATGAGAAGGGAGCACTGACTGGAGAGGACCCTGATGTTGGGATTGAAGGTCAAAGAAGAAGGGGACTGTTACCGATGCAACGAACATGAAATTGAGCAAACTCCAGAGGATGGCGGAAGACAGGAGGGCCTGGCGTGATGTGGTCCATGGGGCCGCGAAGAGTCGGACTCGACTAAACAACAACTAGGGAATTTTAACAAAAGACCGGAATGTCTGTCTCTGCTTGGATCCAGCTAGAGATCACACCACATGTGAACTCCTGGTCCTGATACCCACTCCGAACAATCGGATTTTGCAGAAATAAGACCAATGTTTAGGACTCATCTGGAACTTGGAAGACCATGCCATAACAGGAAGGCCAAACACCTTTTCTCTTTTTACCAATAATGTCTTCCAAGATTGATAGCATTCTGCTTCTAATATCGTATCCTCACAGTGTCCCTAAACAGCACCAGCCCTCCGCTTTCCACCCCACCAGACACCTTCTGTTTACCTCATCCCGGAGGAGCCCCACCAAGCCTTTCGCCACCGGGTAGCTCCGTCACTCACTCCCTCACTCACTCACTCACGCATTCCTTTGGCCATTTACTGTCAGAGAACGAATATCTCGCGATAGCTTCTGCGATCTCGCTCTATTGCGCCTTGTGGACTCGCGAGATCTGCTAGACAAGATGGCGGCGCGGTCGAGTCGCTAAGAGGAGCGGCAGGTGGAAGAGGGTTAGAAGGCGGCTCGGCTGGGCTTCGAGCCCCGGGCCCTGCAGAACGTCCCCGGATGAGGGGAATGCAGACGGGACGGGACTCGCCGCCGCGCCTCTGAGCGCCTCGAGCCCCCCGCAGCGACTGCGGCTCCCTGGCTCCCCGTCGGGGCCCCCTCGCGCTCGGGGCCGCCGCTGGCGATGACCGGAGAGAAGCTGCGCTCGCTGCGCAGGGACCACAAGCCCAGCAAGGAGGACGGGGACCTGCTGGCGCCCGGCGAGGAGGAGGCTGCGGCCGCGCCCGGCGGGGGAGGCGCCTTCACTGGGGGCCGAGCGGGAAGCGGCAAGGGCGGCCGCGCCGGGAGCCACCGCATCTTCACCAACCACCATCACCACCGGCTGCCGCTCAAGGGAGGATCCGGGGGGGCGGCCGTCGCCGCCGGCCCCGAGTCCGACAAGTGTTCCGCGGCGCAGTTTCCTGTCCACGAGTCTGTCTTCAAGGGGGACGTGAGGCGGCTGTCAGCGCTGATCCGCACGCAGGGCATCGGCCAGAAGGACAGTCACGGAAACAGTCCTTTACACCTTGCTGTGATGTTGGGACATAAAGAATGTGCCCACTTGCTTCTGGCTCACAATGCTCCTGTGAAAGTGAAAAATGCTCAGGGATGGAGTCCTCTTGCAGAAGCCATCAGTTATGGAGATAGACAAATGCTTACAGCACTTCTAAGGAAACTGAAACAACAGTCTAGGGAAAGCGTTGAAGAAAAGCGACCTCGATTATTAAAAGCCCTGAAAGAGGTAAGTTTGTAAATATCTTGTCTATCATCATTTGAGAATATGGAGTCTTTAACTTGCAGATATTCAACAGGTAGTTGCACTTAATGAGAATGTTATAGTGGTTCAGCCTAGGGGTTAATATGGCATGGGCCAATATGAACTGGCAAACTATTAATATAGGTCTCTTCCTGCTGGAAGCCCTCATTTGTTATGAGGGCCGGATCTGACATAAATGAGACCTTCCTGGGCCAGGCCATGTGTGTCATAAAATGTAATGCCAGGTAGCGGAGATATAAACTTTATAAAGGACACAAACACAAAGGGTTTTTTTTAACTTAAAATAAAAGCATGCTTAAAACATTAGCACTCTTGCAATATTTTGTTTATTTAACAGTGT